GTTTTCTTTCTTATCTGACCTATGGGTTATTTAAATGTTATTAAATTCCCAAGCATTCAGAAATTTTCTACGTTTCTTCTCATGACTTTTTGCCTTGATTACATTTGGTCACAAAACACATTCTGCAAGCCCCATCCTGTGGCACTAAGATGGCTTCATAGTATGGTGGGTGGCAATTTGGGCAAGAGCATGCTTTCTATGCTGTGTTTCTGACGCATTTGTCATAGTGAATTCGAGGACTTAAAATTGCACAGCTCTTGGCTGGGCGCGGTGGCTCACACCTGTAATCCCAGCACTTCAGGGGACCAAAGCAGGTGGATCATCTGAGGTCAGGAGTTCGAGACCAGCCTGACCACAACATGGAGAAACCCAGTATCTATGAAAAATACAAAATTAGCCAGGCATGGTGGCGCCTGCCTGTAGTCCCAAGTACTTGGGAGGCTGAGACAGGACAATTGCTCGAACCTGAGAGGTGAAGGTTGCAGTGAGCCGAGATCATGCCATTGCACTCTGGCCTGGGCAACAAGAGCAAAACTCTGTCTCTTTTGTAAGGAGGAAAAGAAAGGAAAGAAAGGAAGGAGGGAGGGAGGGAAGAAGGAACTGCATGCCCCTTCCAGCCTTTTTCTGCAGGGCAATACAAGAGTTTAAAACAATTCACCTCCCTTCTTCCATGTCCCAGGTTACACAGCAATGTTTTCCAGTATTTTGTTTGTAAAGTTTCAATGGAACGATTTATGTATGTTTATTATTCTCTCTGTCCATGGCTCCATCTTGCTTTAGGCACCTCCCCTGGATTCCTAATATTCCTGCTCTTGAAGAAAATTCCTAACAATGCCCTGTAAAGGAGGTGTCATCAGAAATGACATCCTTTTTTTTTTGAGACAGGGTCTCGCCCTGTCACCAGGCTGGACTGCAGTGGGGTGAGCATAGCTCACTGCAGCTCCAACTCCCTGGGCTCAAGTGACACTCTCACCTCAGGAATCCAAGTAGCTGGGACCACAGGTGCGTACCACACCAGCTCATTGTTTTTGTATATTTTCTGTAGAGACGAGGTCTCACTCTATTGCCCAGTCTGGTCTCTAACTCCTGGGCTCAAGCAATCCTCCCACCTCAGCCTCCCAAAGCGCTGGGATTATAGGCGTGAGCCACCATACCTGGCCTCAGTTCTTGTTTAATTTAAGTATCGCCTAATTCTTTATTTTTGTAATTCTGAGATAATTTATATACCAACAAATTCACCCTTTTAGGTGAAGAGTTCAGTGACTTTCAGTGTAGAGCTGTGCACACATCACCACTAATTCCACAACACTTTAATCGCCCAAAAAGAAACCCTGTGCCCATTCACAGCCACTACCCATCCCGCCTCACCCCAATCCCTGGCAACCATGAATCTGTCTCTCTGCAGTTGTCTTTTCTGGGCGTTTCACATCAATGGAATCAAACAGTAGGTGATCCTTTGCACACGGCTCACGTGGGGCAGTGGCTCACGTGGGGCAGCTCCTCGCGTTATGGCCGGGCTGCAGCTCGCATCAGTGTTCCAGCTTCATGTGACCCAATGACGCCTCATTCTTGGGAGAGTCTGCTGTGTTCTCCCTTCGTGTACTGATGGAAACCTGGGCTGTGTCTACCCCGTGGCTGCTACGGGCCGTGCTGCTGGGCGTATCCAGGCACAAGTGCACGTGTGGCTGCTGTCTTCAGTGCTCTGGAGGGATCCCTACGAGTGGAACTGCTGGGTCCGCTGGTAACGTGTCACCAGCATCCTGAACAACAGGTTCACTGAAGACCCAGCCGTGCGCCGAGAGCTCTCTCCTCCGTGCACCAGCGGCTTCCCCGCCACTCAGCACCCAGGGTGCCCACACCTGGTACATGGCTTTCATCCCATCACAGGCATCTGTCCTTTCTCTCTGGCTGCCATCAAAATTGTCTTTGCCCGTGATAATCGCATGTGTCTAGGCAGAGGTTTCTTTTCATTTCTTGCTCCTACTTGGGTTATATAGTCTGCTTCCTGAACGTTTTCAGTGCCTCTTCCTTCTGTCTTCTTCATTCCCTCCTTCTGGGATTCCAATCAGATGCGTGTTGATCTGACTGTCCATGCCCCGCCTGCCACTGGCCCTTTCTCACGTTTCTGTCTCCTGGAGAGTGACCAAGCTCCGGTGACCTCTAAGGAGGTGAGCCGGCTCCCCGCGGTGCCCATCCTCAGAGGTGGCCCCACCACGATGAAGACACAGAACCCATGAGCACAGGAGCAGCACATCCGAGGCTGTCACCCACAAGGGGACCCAGCCCAGGGTCCTAACGGGGTGAGGCAGGCCGGAGCCACGACCGTCTGGATGGCAGTGCAGAACTCCTCCCAGAGAAAGCACGGAGCGGCCCTGCTGTAAGTCAGTGAACATGGCTCCATGCAGGCCCTTCAGCAGCCCCTGACGTAACTGCCGCCAACAGATGGTGTGGGTGAAGCAGGCTAGGCCCAGCTGGTCACGAGGGATCCAAACTGCCTCTGGCACTTCTCTTTGCAGCTATTTTCTCTGCCTTAAAACAATGTTTAAATGGGAAGGCCTGCCTCTGTGGCTGCAACTTTCTCTAGGGATCCCAGGACTGTGCCTTCTGGAGCGGGCAGAGGTCTGTGGTTTATGAGAACAGGACGTTCCACAGCTGTGTCCCAAACCAGGTTTCCCCTGGAGAGCTGCTGCGACATGGAAACGGAACTCAGACTGTTCTGGGGCGGCCACACCTACTGTGTGCACAGCAGGACGGCAGCAGTGTGGCCTGGCAGTCAGCGAGCCCAGACGGCTCATCGTGCAGGAGGAAAAGCGTGAGGCTGCCGTGGTCATAAATACATTTTATTTCATTAGAAATGCATAATTACAGTGTTTGACAGCATTTCCCCTAGAAAAGTAGGTCAGCAATACCCCATCAGAACGAGAACTGGCTTTGCAAACACCTGTCTCTTGACACTCAACAGAGCACACAGCAAAGGGCTCCTGCTACTCCCCTGGGATTTTTTTTTTCAAATTTTGTTTTTTGTTATAAACACCATAGCAAATTAAAAAAAGCTGTTTAAACAGAAAAATATCATAGTCTTGATTTCCCGCACACCGGCGACGCTCTCCGCACTGCGCCTCCCCTCGTCCTCCTACACCAACAGCACGGCTCAGACAAAAGGGGTCTCCGGCTGGGGGCGGGGCTGCCGCTCTTTTCGTGGACAGGACGCTTTTCCCCGCGGAGGCAGCAGCTGTCAGACGCACTTCAGCAGAACACGTGCATTCGCTGCCTGTGCTGAAGCCGTGAGAGCGGGGCGCATGGGGGCCAGGCCATGGGCGGAGCCGACGAGGGGCTCCCAGTGTCGTGGGCACTCCTGGTGCTGTGGGCACCGCTCACTGGATCTGGATGGCCCCGTGCTCCAGCTGCATCTCTGGCTGTAGTGTGGGCTGCAGCGCTTCAGCTGTCTGCAAAAGGGAGAAAGGAGGGGACTTTCTAGAAAAACACCCAGTACTGCATAGCCTCGGGTATCATCAACAGCCAGCGACTTTCAGGCAGAATCAGACACACAGCGACAGGAGCACAAAGGAGCTCTGATGGCCCCAAGGTTCACCCGACTTGGGACAGAACGCACCTGGCTCCCAGCGGAACGACGCACACAGACCCTGTGCCCAGGGCAGCTCCGGCACATCCAGGCCCCGCCCCTACCCACGTGGCCGGCTCCTGCTTCTCCATCTACTGCCTCACTGTGAAGTAACCCAGAAGCAGATGACATCCTGCCCTCCCTAAGGCATTTACCTGGAGACTCAGGTGCCATTCTGCCTTTCTATAAACCCTGTTCCCATGCTTCAACAAAGTATTTCTGGAGTAGCTATGTTCCTCGCCTCACACATGTAAGTTCTGGTCAATGAGTTACAGGTATTAAAAGGACTTGAGGTACACAATCACAGCTTTATCGGAGGCTGGGTGCGCTGGCTCATGCCTGTAATCCCAGCACTTTGGGAGGCTGAGGCAGGCGGATCACTTAAGGTCAGGAGTTCAAGACAAGCCTGGTCAATATGGTGAGACCCCATCTCTATAATAAATACAAAAATTAGCCGGGAGTGGTTTTGCACACCTACTAGGGAGGTTGAGGCAGGAAAATCACTTGAACCCAAGAGGCAGAGGTTGCAGTGAGCTGAGATGGTGCCACCATTCTCTAGCGTGGGCGACAAAGCCAGACTCCGTCTCAAAAAACCATAAATAAAAAATAAAGGAAAAATATGTAATGCTCGAGTAAGTCACTCATCATGCAGCTGAGCCACACGGAACATGCCCCAAGTGGAAGCAATCAGTCTAGGCCTTCTATGCACACTCCCAGAAGCCCAGGCTGCAGGGCTGGGCTCAGCGACCACAAAGGAGGAGGAGAAGCCACGAGCCCACAGCCGAGCCCACGGGAGACAGAGGCCCGACGACTCCTACTACTGTTAAGGCGCGGCTTTGTTTTGTTTTAGTTTTTAGGGACAGGGTCTTGCTCGGTTGCCCAGGTTGCAGTGCAGTGGTGCAAGCACAGCTCACAACAGCCTCGATCTCATGGGCCCAAGTGATCCTCCCACCTCAGCCTCCCAAGTAGCTGGGACGACTGGTGCACACTGCCACGCCAGGCTTTTTGTTTGTTTGTCTGTTTTTCCCTGAGACAGAGTCTTGCGCTGTCACCCAGGCTGAAGGGTAGTAGCATGATCTCAGCTCACTGCAACCTTCACCTCCTGGGTTCAAGCAATTCTCTGCCTCAACCTCCCGAGCAGCTGGGATTACAGGTAACTACCACCATGCCCAGCTAATTTTTGTATTTTTAGTAGAGATGGGGTTTCACCATGTTGGTCAAGCTGGTCTCGAATTCCTGACCTCATGTGATCCACCCGCCTCAGCCTCCCAAAGTGCTGGGATTATACTGTGAGCCACCACGCCCGGCCCCAGCTAGTTTTTTTTATGTTTTGTAGAGACGGGGGTCTCACTACATTGCCCAGGCTGATCTTGAAGTCCTGGGCTCAAGCAATGCCCCTGCCTCGGCCTCCCAAAGCACTGGGATTACAGGCATGAGCCACTGTGTCCAGATGAGGCTGTGCTTTTTCAAGACAAGTGTCAAATGACACTCAACACAGTATTCCCCAGATGAAGGAGGCGCCTTCTGGGACAGGATGAGGGGCCAGCACAGGGATTGTCTCCCGAGAGCCCGGCCACAGCCGGAAAGGCTTAAGGGGAAAGGCCTCATGGAAAGGGGTGAACCTGAGATGGAAAGGAGGAGCCACGTCAGGGCCCTGGGGTGGGTGGCTTCAGGCCACAGGAGGCTGGGGTAGGAGGGCCACTGCCTGGGATGCAAAGCCCCTTCCCCTGGACAGCCAGAGAAGCAGTTGGGGGCGCGGGTGTCTGGGGACAGCGGGGCACAGGTCTGGGCTGGCCGAGAGAGACGCACTTGCCATCCAAGGACGGTGGCCAGCCCGTGTTCCAGGCAGAGGCTGGCGGAGGCACTGCCCCTGCTACAGATGGCTCACGGAGCCTGTGACACCACAGGCCACCCCGTATGAAGATGTGTCTTCCCCCACAAATGGCACCCCCTACCCTCCCAACCCACAGCTCCAGGGACAGGCCCACGCTCCACTTTGAGGACTGGCCACCCCACAGGCCAGCCACTTGCCTTCCCTCCTAAGGGAACCCCTTCTCCTCAGAGCCAGGCCCTCACAGCCGAGCCACAGGTTTTCCTAGAATTAGCTCATGTGTGTAGCTCTGCTCTGACCAACAAAAGATGTAATGCAATTCCTGAGCACAGCTGGGAGTGGGGGCTTCGTGTGGATGAGACTCAACCAGAAACCGGTCTCTGCTGGGTGCAGTCATGCCTGCAGGGTCACCATGAAGGCCTGGGGTCACTTCCTAGGAAGGCAGAGCTAGCCTGAGGACAAGCTGAGATGGTAGGAAAGACAGCTGGGCCCTTGGTGACGAGCTAACACAACCTGCAGCCGCCACGCCTCCGACAGGCAAGTCCAGCCACACTGGGGTTTTCTGCGGGAAAAGCAGCGCGGTAAGCAGGTGTCTTCCTTAGCCTTTAAGATGGATCCTAATTAGAGCGTTCACGTGGGGCCTGCCAGGCAGGCCACGGTGACAGAGAAAGCTTACAGGAAGCTAGGGGTGTAAAGATCAACCGTGGGACACAGGTTTCTCCAATTCTGAAACCTGGAAAGTGACCAGAAACTCAGAATGCAGCAGGATGCCGAAGCACGGCCCCGCATCTAGATGCCCAGGCACAGGGTCTCACGCCCTCCCGCAGCACTGTCTGGAATGGCACGAGGGGCCAGCATGCGTCCCTGAGCACAAGCCGAGGCAGGCGGGCCTGGGCTGTCTTCACGGACAGGTCAGGTTCACCCCACAGAAAAGCAGCACTGCCCGACAAGTTCGCTTTCGCCCCCCGCCCATCTTGTGTCCACGATCTCCCTTCACGTGCTTCCAGCCCATCTCCAGCAGGGTCAGTGACCGTGTGGAACTGAACACAATGCAGACTGCAGGGTGGGCCCACGCAGGGGCACCACATCCATGGGCAAAGGGTACAGGGCGGGCCCGTGTGTGTGTGTAGGGGGACTACACCCATGGGCACAGCAAGAAGGCTCAGTAGGAGGAGGGGCCGGGCCTTCTACAGGACACAGGTCCTTAAACTCTAGGCTCGCAGCTGTCCCGTGGAGAGGAAGAAGACATGAGTGTCGGGTGAGCATGGACATCACATGGCTGCTGCAGCTCAGGGGCTGCAGAACTGCCCAGCCTGGCCACCTGGTCGCCCTGGTGAGCGTGGGCTCTACTGAGCCCATTTCTTCAGCAAGCACCTCCTGAGAAGGACCCTCTCCTCCAGAGGGCTGAGGAGCACACCTGCCCTCAGCAGCGCCCAGGGAGTGGGAAAGGCTGCTCGGACATCTAGGATTTTCATTCTGAGCATAAAGTGGACGGCATCAAGACCCAGGTGGATCACCAGCTCTGGGGCCACAGAAAGGACAGGAACAGACCCAGAGACAGTGGCCAGAATGTTCCAGAAGGGCTGGGCAGCAGCCATATTAGCCTGGAGGTAGAATAAGGACAAGGCTCTGGCTGGGCACATTCCCAAAGCAGGAGGCGCGGAGGCTCCCGGACACAGGACTGCCTTCTGCCTCACAGCTGTATTCAAGGAGAACAGCAGCCCATGGCATCACAGGGGCTCTTGTCTGGGCCTCAGCCACGCTGGTGACTTCAGCACAGCCTCTCCCTAGTGAGCTCCGGCTGGCGAGGTCTGGAGATGCTGGCGTGAGCCCGCTGGGCCATCCATGGAGCGCAGCAGCCCTGGGCTTTGCTTCGGGAGATGCTGGGGCACGACAGCCCAAGGCACTACTGGCCCGGCCCCAGGCTGAGACCTTCAACAGGGGCAGGGAGCTCCCGGGCTGACGGGGTCCCCACGCTCCCTAGCCCACAGGACAGGGCAGAGCTTCACTTCTGCTCCTGAATTTACAAACATTTCCACAGGAGAGTCTCAAGCGTCAGCTGGAATTTGGAACTGAGGCAGGATCTACCCTCTCTCTTCACATTCATGGTGTGTGTGAGACGAACCCTCGTACGGGCATCTGTATCCAATCACGCACCTCTCCTGATCATGCACCCTCTACACAGAAGGAGGCATGAGAAAGCCCCGTGGCCCATCACTACACAGTGTCCCGGCGAGTGGCCCCAGACTCACCTGGGCCCCGGCCGTGTGGTCGCCCACCGGCGCCAGCTGCACGTACTGAACCTGGATGTCGCTGCCCTGGAGTGGTGACCCGTCCACACCCGCCGCCGCAGGATCCGAGGAGGCCACGGCGATCAGCTGGGCACCCTGCAGCACCTGGAGAGACACGGGGCCCTGTCAGCAGCACGGCCCATGACCCACATGGCTCCAGAGACCACAGACCCCAGCCCGCAGGCGCTGTCCCAGGAGTGGCAGGGACACCGAGGACTCTCAGTGCATCCCATCTCCCCAACACTTTCAGTCGTGCTGGATCCAGTGAGAGAGCGCCATCAAGTCTCTGCTGCACCTGCAAGCTCCCCGCTCGAGCACCCAAAGAGCGGACAAAGGGAAAAAACAGCTAGGCAGAGCTTCCAGAGAGCAAACGCAAACGCCATGGGGCCTCCTAGAAAAATCCTCATGGCAACCACGAAGGGCACAAGCCCTCTCACACCGCCAGTCAGAGCTAAAATCTAAGCCAGGACCATGAGCGTGAGGCTGAGACCCAAATTCTCCCCATTCCCGAGGCTGAGCGGCCTCAAGGGCTTGCGGGAGCAGAGGAGCTGTTGGTGGGCACTGAGAACCCAGGAGAAGCTCGCAGGAAAGCGAGGCCCAGCTCCAAGAAGGGCGGAAGTGAGACCTGGTAGCAGAGAGCCCGGCTGGCCCTCCCGACCCTGCGTTACCTCCCAGTGTGTGGGACGAGAATGGGGGACGGGTGAGGCCCCTGGGTGGGCTCTGGTGACCCCATCGCTTGTGAGCACCCAGGTCCATTTCCCACCCAATCCGCCAGGCGCTCCAACAGCCAGGCGGGCAGCCCCAGGACCGGGATGGCCCAGGCAGCAGGTGGGCGGCCCCATCTCTGAGGGCACTGGACATGGGCCACGGGCTCTTCACTTTGGGGGTTGCGTCCCACCCTGGAGAGCCAGGAGGTCCACCCGCACCTTCCACACAGAACCTCACGCTGTGCAGAGTCTCACACAATGACCCTGGGGAGAGCTACAGCCCCTGTCGCAGTGCGCCCCACCCCACAGAGCCTGGCCGCAGCCGCCCTCCAATGGCACCCGCCCTGGACACCAAGCCACACACAGCGCCAGCACGGGCCCCACAGACACGCTGCACAGGCAGCCCGGACCAGGCCTTTCAGGCTTCACACACAAGTGCTTCTAAAAACAGTCTTGTGTCTAAGCAAAGTTCACCTGCAGTGCTAAAAGACAAGCCTTTTCAAACTACAAAGCATATTTACCCTAAACTGAGGTTAGCCAAGTGTGGCACCAGATCAAACCTGCTGCCTGCTTTGTACAGCTGTGAGCTGAGAATGGCTTCTACATGATTTTTAATGACAGCAAAAAGGGCAAAAAACTCTTTTGTGCCACATGACAGCTCTAGGAACCTCCATCTTTGGTGCGCACCTACAGGCCCGCAGGCCCCCATGCGCCAGTCGGTCACAACCCGAGGGCCATGCCAAGCAGCTGAGACGGAGACAGGGTATGCCCCCCAAAGCTGAAAACCCCATCCCCCTGGCCCTTTACAGACAAGCCTGGCAACCCTGCCCGCCACTACCTGCAAGCACGGCCACCTCGGGGGACCACTGAGCCGTCAGAATGACCCCTGGAACGGTCGGCCTTCCGCCTTGGGATTTTGTCTCAGACAGTACATAAGAAGGAGCATGGCCAGAGTGAGGCAACTTGCTGGACTCGGGTTCCTTGACCCGAGGGCCCCTACTGCAGCGGCCCTCTGAGCCCAGGTATCAGACCCGGCCCGGCTTGGTCCCAGGCTCCATTCACTGTGCAGCTGGCCCTTGACCACCACCAGGGTAAGAGGCACTGACCCCTTGTACAGCTGGAAGGCACGGACAGCCTTTGACTCCCTGACACTTAACTACGAATAGCCTGTCGACCCATAATGGCCTAACCATGCCAGTCTGTGAGCAGACATTCTGTGTGCTAAGTGCAGCATCTACCGCGCTCTCCAACAGAGGAGGCGAGGGAAGACGTGGTATGCGGAGAAGCACTTGAAGAAGAGACACGGCTGCTGTCCACCAAGCGGAAGTGGATGGTCCTCGGGGCCTTCGTCCTCACCGTCTTCACCGACTGCGGCTGGGGAAGAGGGGGAACAGGAGGGGCTGGCCTTGCTGAGTCAGGGCAGCAGAGGCGGGAGAGATGGAAGAGGTGGAAAACGAGGCAGACACGCTCCATCTCATTGTATCGAAAGAAAGCCCATGTGTAAGTGGATCCTCACAGCTCAAACCCGCATTGTTCGAGGGTCAGCCGTGGTCTTCCTCCAAGGCACAAGTGTCAGTCTTTGGTGAGGGACAGAAAGAGCGGAGCGTTGTGAAGTGCATGCACTGACATCAGAACGCTGACAATGGGGCTGCTGGCCCTGGGGTCCGGGTGCCATTTACGGATGAGAAAGTGGGGCCTGGGCAGGGGTGGGGGCGGTTTAGGGGCTGGGCTTCAATGGAAGCACAGCAGGTGGGGGCAGAGTCCATGCAGGAAGCACCCGGGTCCCCGAGGCGCTCTCCTGGGCCACCGCCATCCATACTGGAGCATGATTACCCTTTGCCTCCCTCCAGCCTGCGTCTTTGAGAGGGAATGGAGAGGGAAGGCAGGGACTCTGCGAGGGGACAGCTCAGGCGTAGGTCTCCACAGGTTCTTAGAAAATACAGCCTGTGGTTTTAAAACAGCATTCTAGTTTTTGATGAGCTAAAAAAGCCGTAGACTTTTTTAACAATGAATTTATCAGTAGCGAAAAAAAAGCAGGTCAATGGGGTGAATGTCTGGCCGGAAAGAACTCCATCTTTCTGCTGACACGAAATAAACCACCTGAGAGTTGCTGGTGCGCCGAGAAGGGGGGGCGTGGGACACAGCTGCCCCTTCCTGCCATCTTTACAGGCCCCGAGGTCCCGCAGGCACAGCACGCTGTTCAGAACCCAGCCTGGCGACGACCCACTGAGGTTTCTGAACTCTGTGTCACAGGACGGGGCGAGCCCACTGGAGCACCCTCCATCTGGCCTGGGTGCAGGGGCAGGAGAGCAAGCAAGTCCCTGTCAGCCACAGAGACACGGGCTCAGACCTCGAGGCTGGGCACAAGGGCGCCCAGAAAGGTGGAGGCCCTGGAAAGAGAACCTTCTCAAGGAAAGAAGGGAGAGCAGACATTCCTGCCGATGTGCAAACCCAGTAGTAACTTTTCAGGGATGCCGGGAGCAGGATGGGCAAGGCGGCAGCTGCAAGGGGCTGGTGAGAGTGGTTCCACACTAGGCTCCACCACGCGCCCAGGCAGTCGCTCTGTCTCGGGTGGATCCTGCCCCAGACCCCGGGCCGGTGCCCACAGGAGGCAGCAGCCAGCAGCCGCAGTGCTGGGCTCTTATGTGAGTCCTGCACAAACCATTTCCCGCTCGTCACGGCACAGGCACGCTCCTGGCCCCGAGAAAGTGCAGGAAAGCATCCTCAGGGGCCATCCCAGAGGCGCCCAGGGCGGCGAATAAAGCCAGCTGACGGCACCAGTGTTTCCCACCTCTTCCCACCAGCCGAGGCCCTGAAAACTCCTGACTGGCAGGAAGTGGTCTGTGCAGCGCAGGAACCTGACTGGTAACTCCCGGGTGCCCACCCACCTGCCCGCCTCTCCACGACAGCAAGGAGACCCTGGCGCACACCCAAGGTTCCCACCAACCAGGTGACTTCCAGGAAACCCAGGCCTGGGGCGGGCAAGAGAGGAGCACACAGCAGGCCCGCACCTGCTCCGTCCCCAGCTCCTGGGAGCCTGTGCCATGCAAGCTGAGCTCTGCGGGGACCACAACAGGGGGCCTAGTGCATGACACTTTCCATTTTTCTTCGGGCACCTGTCCACCCAGCTCTATACCACGTGTGAAAATGGAAAAGAAGCTCATGGCCACATGCAAAGCAGCACCGTCCAAGCACCTCCTCACCCACCACACACGTGGCGTGGCGTGGACTGATGAGACACAGAGGTGGACGGCGTGTGGGGAGGGCAGGTCTGTCAGGGACACAGGGGGCACAGACACAGTGGACGGTGCACCACGTTGGCGGCCCCACACTGTGTAACTGTGGAAGGCAAGGCTCAGCCAGGAGCTTTGTTGGGCCCCTTGTTTCAGGGTGTCACCAGGCAGGAAGGACAGAGCGAGGACACTGACAGGCTGGGGTGGAGACTGGGATTCACCCCAGGGTGGAGCAGGGCAATGTGAGCGGGACGGCGGCCGCCCAGGGCAGGAATGGCCAGAGCATGGCAGGGTGAGCACCGTGGGCCCCAGGAGGGCCAGGCACTGGGGAGTGGCTCTGGATGGGGACAGCAGCAGCTGATCTGCTTAAATTAGGGAATAATGCCAAAGAGAAGAAAAGGTTCTGCAATTCTAGTACAAAATACCCACAAAGTATCTCAAATCAGGTTTGAGCAGTGGCAGTACAGCAGGTGAGGTGGGGTTGGCCTGGAGCCCCTCAGGACATAGCCCCTGGCTCCCGTCTAGGGGGCACGCAGCGGGGTGCAGGGTCACAGCTTGGTTCCAGCTTGAGTCCCCTCCCTGAGGGAGGCCCCAGAGCAGATGAGGTGTGGGTGGGAGCCGGTCAGCATGGGATGAAACACCTGGGGAGACACTGGGTGGGGGCCGAGAGGCTGAACAACGGTGACACCCAGCACCCAGCCCCGAGGCTCTGGCCCCCTCGGTCCCATGACACCGGCCACTCACTGGCATTGCAGCCAAGAACACAATGCCTGGCAGGCAGCACAGGGCTGCACAAGGTCAAAGGGTCAGCAGCCTTGGCATCCCCCACACGCCTGGGCCCTAGGACCGTGTCACGTGCTGTGTGTCCAATACTAACTAATGAAAAAGAAAGTAAGCATGCATTCCTATAACTGGGTTTCCAGGCAAGTTCAAAACTCAGCAAAAAATCTGCCTGGGACCTCCATCCACAAGTGTCTAAGCCGCTGCAGAAACGTGCCCTGGCCAATGGCTCTGACTCCGCTCAGCAGTCACCCGCCTCACACGGCCACTGCCAGCAGCACTGCCTCCTCCGCCCTGGAAGACCCTTGAGTCTCCAAGGGAGCAGGAGCAGGAAGGAGGCCCCACCGCGGGGAGCTGGGTTTCGAAGGCCGACGGCAAAGACACA